TGTATGAAAGCGTGATTTTTTTCTTCATTTTTTCATATATATAAAATTCCGTGTTGATCAAAAAATTTTTATTATATAGTGAGTGACACTTGACCCCCTGTAGATCTGCAATGTCCTGCGACTGTTAACAAACTTTTAAATGTCCCAATTGTGTGTGTTTGCTTTATAAAAAACCCTCCTAGTTTTATAAAAATCTTGAGATGAGTGTCAATTAAAGCAATAATTTCATCAAACCTGTAATAGAACAACAAACAACGTTTAGACCAGCTAATTGTTTCTAAGACTCCGAACGAGCCAACGAAATTCAGATTAAATCACCTAATCCGATTTGAATCCATTATCATATATCTAATATTTAAATAAATTATCCCAATAAATCATGATTTGATTTAATGCGGAATCGATATAGTAATACATATAAATAAATTGATCCAATGAAAACTCTCTGTTTCAGAGAATCTTGTTTCGATGAATTATAATTAAATTCGCATTACAATCGATTTTTAAAATTTTTGCTTCACAATTTTCTTATGCATTTTATCCTATATTAATATTAATACGGGATATACATATGAAATGGGCTTTTCTATGTGTTTCCATATTAAATGAATTTTTCATTATCATCATACGAAAGCACGCGGGAAAATGTATTCTGTATTAGCATGATTTCTGTACCGTTTTCATATTTTAGGACTAGTACGAAAAGATGCATGTTTCTATATTATTATTAATATCAATATTAATAAAACAGAAAATTATAATGATATATAATGTTTTTTATTATGTATTGGGATATTGCATTATAATATTTTTTTTTGTGTTAATGTTATGTGATGAGAATTTATATTAATAAATAATTAATAAAAAAATAAATGATCGCGTAACGGATTGTACACTGTCAGATCGTTCAACCTTTGCAACCTTTAAAAAAAGAAATAAATAATATTTTTTTTTGTGTTAATGTTATGTGATGAGAATTTATATATTTATAAATAATCAGTTGTTATTATTTTAGTCGACTATTAGTTGAACAAAAAATTTTAGTAGTAGTCGATTCCAACCTCTAGGTTAAACTATTGAAAAATCAATTATAGTTTCGGGATTTTCGGCAAGCATTTGATATATATTAATATTAATATTTTGTAAAAATCTGCAGTTCATTTTCCAGATTGGTTAACCGTTAACCCGCAATGACATGATTTATCCTAGTAATGATAGAGATTGGTATTAGAATCAAAAAACTTGAACATTTTTTTTATATAAATGAATTTCATACATTTATAAGGGTGGAACAATTAATGAGTTAATATTCATATTAATATTAAGGGGAAAAAACTAACGTCACAGAAAAAGCTTTCAAGAATAAAGAATAAATAGATCGTTCTGCAAAAATTGTCCAAGTTTCACGATTTTCATTAAATTGTAGTGCAGTCACAGCTAAAGTCTTGTCTAAAATTTTTTTTGTGTCAATTAATCCTCTGTGACAATATTAATTAAAATATTTTAAAATAAAGTATGTTAAATTTCGCGAAATTACTTCAAAAAGTGCCTATGATATGCTCATTAATCATCGATTATTATCGTTATGGACCACCTCAACCATCATGGGATTTGAAGCTTTATTTGATATTCAGACTTGTAAAAGATGGGATGGCATCACCAACCAAACAAACTATCGAAAGTCTTCAAGGAACAAATAAACCAACAGCTGCCGATAAGGGTATACTTGTAGATGAGCTGTCATTGTCAAATTCACTTCGTAAAAAATCAGAAATTTACATTGATGATATTTTAAAAGATTATAATCATGTGCTTCTTGATGATTGGAGAAGTGTGAACCTTGGAAATGGATTAGAATGTGAATGGGTTTATGTTAAAAAAAAAGAGGGAGGAGAAGAAAACAATAATAAAAAGAAAAAATATGATAAAGTTATTTTGTATGTACATGGTGGCGGATATTTTTTATATCCCCCTGGTTATCGTAGTTATACTTCTAAGATTGCAAAATCTACAAATTCAAGACTATTTGGTAAGTATTTAAATGAATTATGAAAAAAAAAGGTTTAATCAACTAACAAACAACACATAATTTTTTTATTTTATTCAAAAAACTTTCAAGTAATAAATTATAGACTCGCACCACAAAATCAATTTCCTGCTGCTTTACATGACTCAATAACTGCCTACAATTATCTTATTGATCCACCAAGCGATGCTGATTTTCTACCAATTGAACCTAAAAATATTGTAATAATGGGCACTAGTGCAGGTGGTGGTCTGGCAATGGCAACATTACTTGCTATACGTGACTCAAAAAAATTACCTTTACCAGCTGGAATTGTTTTATGGTCAGCATGGGTTGACTTAGCTCAGTCATCACCATCAGCAAAAGACCCAAGATTCGAAGAAACAGATTATTTGTCATGGGAATTGTTTAATTGCGCAAGATCTCCTGCATGGGAAGAATTTGAACAGAAAGCAAAAGAATTATCAGAAAAGATCCAGTTAAACATTGATAATAAACCAAGATTTTGGCATAAATCATTTGATTGTGATGATCGTTTACAACTTTATGTGTCTAATGAAGGATTAGCAATTCCATATGTTTCTCCATTATTTGCTGAAAGTTTGGGTGGTCTACCACCAATTTTAGTGGTAAATACTTCTTTTTAAAAAATTTTTAAATGCTTACATGATAAATCTTGTGATGATAAAAAATAATTATTCATTATATAGCAAGTAGGTGATGTAGAAATATTAAGAGATGAGAATATTTATTTGGCTTATAAAGCTGCTAATCCAGGAAAATACAATATGCCAAATTACAATGCTGAAAAGTTCGAAAGGTCACCTTATAAAACGCCTACAAAAGTTGTTCTTGAAGTTTATGAAGAAATGCCTCATGCCTTCCAGGTAATTTTCACAAATTTTAATTAATTATGCAAAATAATAATAATAATAATATTTTCAAAATAGATATTTTGGAACATCCATCCATCACAAAAGATAGCTGTGAAACGAACGAATGAATTTATTGAACAATTATTATCAGGTGAAGAAGGGGAGAAAGAATTAAAAGTCTTACGTGTAACAGGTAAAGGTGAAATTATTGAAGAGTTAAAAGAGGAGCATTACAAGGTACTTGAATGTGAAAATATTGGTGTTGCTTCTATTGGAAAGCTTCATTGTTATAGACCTAACAATAACAATCAATGATAACAAAGTGTGATGTTTTTTTGAGATTCCATGTTATTTAATTATTTGTTATCATTACATAAGTATATGTCAAAACCTCCATTGTTATTTCATTATTAGTAATTGTTGTTTATTTATTGTCTTAATCAACTGTTAATTTAATTAAATTATTATTTTTTATTATTAAACACATGAGAGTGAAACCCATCATGTATGCAAAAATTAAATTAGTTTCACATAGAAATGTAGTTATAAATATGCGTATTGCTTTCTTTCATTTTATTATATAATTATTCTTTTACTATGATGCAACTTCAAAACAATTGTTTTTGAAAAATATCAAAATTTATTATATAAAGTGGGCCAAGTTTCTAAGTTAAAATGTTCTTTGCAAAAAGTTGCACATTTAGAGTAGTCTTACTATTGGGCTAGGTTGTAGTTTTTCTACTGAAAAGACCCATTAATTAATAAATTTCCATTACTAAAAAAATTTGACCAGAGTTCTTTAAATATATGCTTTTAGAGGACGAATGAGCAATATTTGAAGAAAATTTGCATCACTTTTCTAAGTAGTGTTTTTTCGATTTTTACAATACTCTTTTTAAAAGATGATATCAACTACGATGATCATTATATATACCAATAAAAATAACAATGACATTGCCGTTTATTAAAGAATGAAGATCATTCAAGTCAAAATTGTACAAGTAACTATACTGTAAATGTAATTGATTGAAATTACTTGTTTTGTTCCTTCATTGAATTGTATAACAGCATATATACCAGAATATATCCAATTTTTGTCAGTATTATTTAAATATTCTTCCAATCCATCATGTAAGCCAACAATAACATCAGCTTTAGAAGTCCATAATGCTAGAATTGGTGGCATGCCAATTTCCATTAGTTAAAGGACAATAGCTTCTTTGGATGTGATGATAGTTGGGCATTTACAGTCATAAGCAATTTTCTATAGTTTGAATATAATTAAAGATGAATTTTTCAAAATCATTAAATAAACCAAGAAAATTTCTTTAATTTGTGAGAACACGGTGATGTCCAATACTAATTGATTCAATTATCCAGGTTTGTTTTTTCAAATAATCCTCCCATCTATTTGACAATTCTGTTAAAGATTGATTATTTTTTCCAATTTTTGTTGAATGCAGTGAGAAAAAATGGCCATCTTTAATAAGCATTTGAAATCTAATCTGACATGAACCATGGAATTTTTTTTACATGAAAATGAATTTCAGAGACATGACTGACAAATCGGCAAACATCGAGCTTCCATATAATTCAGACCACTATATTATCTAAAACAAAATCAATTCCAACATTTTGCTAATTTGAATTTTATAATCGTTAGCCAAAATATTATTTTCAAAATAACTTTAAAATATCGTCATGAATAAGAATTGTAAGTAGTGATGGATGAGTAAATGGAATTACCCCATGAGCTTAATTGAGCTAATAGAATTTGATTATCATAATCGTTAACAATTAATAATTTTTTTAAAATAAAAATCACCAAATTTCGTTCTGTTTTTGAGACCTAACATTTTTTGGAGATTTGGCCGTTGACGTAGTAAATGGTGGCTATAGACTCACGCATCATGGAAAATTTTTAAAGAAAAATTGAGCAAGAGCTTTATTAAATGGTCATATGCATAACTTTCTAGAATTATACAATATGTGCATTTTTAATTGCTTTACAAGCTAAGGATGCCTTATTCGATTAATGCATAATATATTACTCTAATAAATCAATAGTTCAAATTATCATAAATTATTGAGAATTTGTTACATCATTTAATTTTGTAAAAGCACTAATATTTAACAAATAGTTTTAAATGATCTTTACTTTATTCCCTATTGCATTTAACATATTTATCTCAAATGATTCTCTGAATATTTCTCAGTAAGTGCAGCAAATGAGCAAGGTGCAATTGATCTTGACGTTTTACCACTAAAGTTCAAAGAGAAAAAAAAAAAACTTAAAATTTAAACTCCCGGCACTTAAATTTCTTTAAATTTATGTAAAGGCTTACTTTGAACAAATTAATAGGTTTTTGTAGATTTTTAGTAGATTATGAAAAAGCAAGTTCAATACTGTTTATTTTGATTATTATTATTATAATTAAAAAAAAAAAAGATTTTCAAAAGGCAGCAAAATATCACGTTAACTCGTTCGCCACACATATGAATTGATCGACAAAGGAGTTCCAATTTTTCTAGATTCGATTTCCAAATTTGGTAATAATCCTGACTGTACTGCCATAATACGAAATAAATATTAGTTTAACCAAATCCAAGAGATTTGTGTGAGATGCGGAATTTGATCTCACAGTACCCAAAAAACAAAGACATCAATACAATCTCAATTAAGGTTTCTGGCCAAAACTCTCTTTATTAGTAGTCAAAATTGCTGAAACAATTTGGGTAAAAATTGCTTTTTTATAAGCCCCAAACTATTTTTTGTTATTAGCCAAAATTGGGCAAAATTACTTTAAAGTTGTTTAAATTTTTTAATGTTCATGTTTATAAAAAATGCTGGGAAGCCCAAATTGCCCAAACTAGTTTGGGCTTTGAGAAAACAGTTTGGACTGGAAACCTTAATCTCAATTCAATCTCAATCTCAATATAATAATTTTTGAAGGCACCCAATACCCTTTTTTTTTAATATATATAGGATTTTTTTCCCACTAACAAATCCCTCAAATCATTATTTTTAATATTTTTATTGTTTGGGCCAAAATACATCAATAACATCTTCCTTTTTACCTTTTCTAACTTACCTCCTAGCTCTTTCCAACAATTCATATATCATACTTGCCATTAATAAAGTCTCATTTCTAAATCTGTCAAAATTACATTATCTTGCTGCTGCCTCAAATAGGAATGTTGGATCACCTTCCCAGCAATATTGGTAGCAAGCCATTTGTTGCCCACATTCATAGTTAGTTTCACAGAAAAATGCCATCTCAAAGTTTTCTTTATTAAAATATTTTTGAAAATTAAATTACCTACATTTTTACTGTTGATTTCAATATCTTTCTTGTAAACAGTATCAAATCATCTAATAAAGAATTTGTATTGCCAAAAAAATATTTTAAATGAAATTTAATTTATTTATGATCTATTTATAAAATATTAAAATTAGCATAACTTACATTTTAGCAGCAATTATTAATATCACTAATTTATCAAATAATTTGAATGAGGGGAAAGTGTGATCTGTGCCATATTCTGTTAATCAACATAATAATGTTTCATCTTTTGATTCTATGTAAATTGTAAAAAATATCTGACAGAGAAATAAAAATTGTATATCCATTAATCAGTTCTAACTGATCCTACACAATCAAAATTATATATCTTATTAATATTGAGCTTGATTGCAAAGGAAAAGTTTGGGGTACCATTAATACCTCACCTGGCAACAAGGTTAAATAAATGCCTTTCTGTTCACTCACAAAATTTGTTCTTTCTGATCAACAGTATTTTTTCTATTCAAAATTTCTAGAAGCTCTTGAATCTAATTGATTTCAACATGTTCCTATTTTTTAGAACAAAAATATTGGCATTTTAAAAATAAGTACAACAAAATGTCTTCATTTTCTCTTTGTATTTATTTATATAAAAGTTATGTTTTTACCATGTCTTTTGATCTTAAGCAAGGTTGCAGGTAATTATTCAAAGAATTTATTAAAAAAATCTGAAGTAAAATAGGCAATAGATAAAAGGTTAAGCGAAGATGAGCAAAAAACAAAATTTTATTCTATAGTATGATTTTTAGATAAATTCTTCTAATTGGTTAAAGACATGTAATAGTCACAAGTTTGGTGCTTCCTTGAAAAACATCAAATCCCGTGATCAGCACTAATTAACATATGTGTAACAACATCACATATGGAGCCTACCCTTAAACCTAGACGTAGGAGAACATTAGAAGAAATACGTAAAAAATACAAAATTCCTGCTTCTGGTATTGCTACTCGAACTAGAAGGAAATCTCTTCATAAACAACAAGATGAAGAGGTGGTGAATCAAAAGGCGGTGCAAAGGGAGAAGCAAGAACAAAAATTCGAACATTTACATTCGTTACCAATATCAGAATCCACCAAATCGATTACGGCTACCACTATTATTAATACTACTTCTACAATTCGATCACCTTCATTGCCACAATCACAATCACCGTCATTATTATCATCATTATCATCACCGTCGTCGTCTTCGTTAACGTCGTCGTCATCATCATCATCACCACCAAATACATTAGAAAATAATGTTTTTAACGTAATACCGTCACAACAGGATCAACCAAATTTACATTTACAACAACAAAAGAATTCAAAGGGACAAAGAGTCAGCAATGGTAAAAAGACTCGATCAAGAAAACGTAAAGCTTCATTTTCATTACAATTATTAGATCAGGCACCACTGCCACCATCGTTGTCATCAAATACAACAATAACTAATACATCAATTAAACTAGAAACTAATAATAATAATTCAAATCAACAAATACAAATAGAAGAAAAATCAAAGAAACGTCGAAAAATTAAAGATGAGACTATTAAACAATCAAGGAAAAGAAAATCTGCCAGATCTGCTATTGATACCACCACCATTACTTCTTTGGTTGTTGCAGAGCCATCAACTAGCAAATATAGTGGTGTAACCAGAAGAAGGGAAAAAAGATTACAACGTGAAGAAGAAGAAAGATTAGAAAAAGAAAAACAAAAATTAACCTATTATCAACAAAGAGCTGCTCATTTACCTTCTTTATTGATAGAAATTTCCAACTCTAATATGACCAATGAAGCAATAGCAAGTGGCAGCAGCAATAATAATAACAATAACAGTAGTAATACTAATGATAATGACAACAACAATAATACTAATGATAATGACAACAATAATAATACTAATGATAGTAATTATAACAATCATAATAATAACAACAACAACAATAACAACAATAACAGCAGTGCTGCTGAATCACCTTCATTGTTATCATCATCAATGCTACCACCACCACAACAATATCCATCATCATCATCTGCTGCTGTTGCTAATAACACTAATATGAACACCACCAGTTTTAGCATTGCTAGGATCCTTCAAACATCAAATGGAGCACATACATCAACTAATATTGAGAATACCAGTTCTTTACATTCATCTGGATTTTCAATAAATAAATCACGATTACAAGTATGGTCTGAATGGAGTGAATCACAACGAAAAACATTCATGTCCACCTATTTAGCAGAAGGCAAAAACTTTAGAATTATTTCAGAAAGAACCAGCAAATCTATAAATCAAGTGGTAGAATACTATTATTATTTTAAACATAACCCTGATTTTCAAAGAGCCAGGAAAATAAGTGTAGAGTCTGATCAATATCAAAACAAATTGAACATGTTAACTGATGATATCAAAAAAATAGAAAAGTCTGCTGAAGTTGTTGGTAATATTGGTAGCAATAATGCAAGTGGTGCAAATAAACGTAGAAAAGGACGTCCAAGAAGGCATTGAATTTTTATATTTTATTTTATGATTATGTTGATCATTTGATAGATGATCAAGCAGTGGTAATTAATTAATTTATTAATTGACTGTAGTTAGTTTCCTTTTAGTAATATATTCTCTTATTTTATTATATTACATGTCTTTTTATAATAATAAAAATAATTTTTTAAACTCATTTCATGAAATTTTTTGAAAATAATATATCAAATGCTACGCCTTACACAGAAATTAGCATCACGATATCTTGGTTTCACGGAAACACTGTCGCTACATGTAGATAATTTTATTAGTTGGATCGGTCTCGGTCTCAAAGACCAGCCTTTTTTTCATGGGACTGAAAGACTGGTCTTTCATGCGATCTTAACACGAAAAATTTTTTTTTATCAAAATCTTTTTTATTTATAAAAAGAATATAAATTGTTTTGTCAAAACGTAATACATAGTTACGAATTAATTATGAAATTAATTACGAGCGATGAAACATGACGAAGCTAATTACGGGTGATGAAATTAATGCAAAATCCATAAATTTTAATTAATTAATCATACATCGGATGTAATTGTTTTGCCAAAAACGCAACATGTGCTGTAAAGTCTTGAAAGATACACCCCCGAAAGATAGCATCCCTACTAGTTTTACCACATTTGCAAATAACTTGTTTAGCACTAATAAACTATGAAAATTAGCAAAATGAAGTGAATAATTTTTAACAAGATCTATCACAAGTGTAATATACAAACACTAAAAATAAATAATGTTGCGAATTATAATGTAACTGGTTGGTAACCTTTTTTCATAGCCTACGTTTGCGAATCAGTGTGACTGGTGACATTTTTCTTTGCGAATTATAGTGTAATTGGTGTCATTTTTTTCTTCTTTATTAATGTGTAAATATAAGGAGGGTGGTGACATTTTTAAATTTTAAAGTACTTTTTGAACCATAGTGTTGGTGATGACATCAATAGAGTTTCCTGGTCCTCTATAAGTAGTAAAAAAATTTTCGCCTTGAAAATTGACTGCAATGGCAAGTTCTAACGACCTTTATGGTATAAATAAAAAATGCATCTTATGTTTAAATCTAGTTACATCTAAAATTCTAGATCATTTGGTAAATTAATTAATGAGAAAAAAAAATAAAACGTAGAAAATTTTACAAAACAATTCAACCTCAAATTGCTCACCAATTTGAAACATAAAAGACATCAAAAAATATATGAAACTGTTTTAAATTAATTGTATTTTATTAAAAAAAAAATCAATATCTTGTCAGGTTTCCTTTACTTTTTAAAACAGCATCCACCCTTTGTGGCATACTATCTATTAATTTATTAATTCTTTCTGGGATAGTGTTAAACCATTCCTCTTTTAATAAATTGAATAGCTCTGTCTTATTTTTGGTTTTAGGTTTCTCATTCTAAATCTTCTTTTTAAATCCTGTCATAAATTTTCAATAGGAACCATAATATGATTTTCCTCTTTCCATCAATTTTCTACAGTTGCTTTATGACATGGTGTATTATCTTCTTGAAAAGTAAACACACAACTATGACCATGACCATCATCATCATCACTATCGCCATCGCCACCACCATCACCACCACAATCCTCCTCTCTTAATTCATTAATATAAGATAGTAAATTTTCTGCAAGAAGTTTATTGCATTTAATTTACCTTCAACTAATGCTAATGGATCCATTTTTTCTCTTGTAAAACATCCCCAAACTATAATTCCATCAGATTTTTTTACTGTTGGACTTAAATTTTCTTTATTATATTTTTCTCCTGGCTTCCTCCAGACCCAATCATTTGAATTGTTTTGAAACAACTCAAATCTACTTTCATCACTAAATATTATTTTATCCCATTCATTACTACTCCAAATTTTTTTTTTCATGACACCAGCATAACCTTTTTTTCCTATTTACATCAAAAACAAGAAATTTTTTCTTCCATAAACATTTTTAGAATGTAATGTTTGTCTGATAGTCTTCTCACTTGCTATAATGTTTAATTCTTCAAGACTCTTGATTAATTTAAAAGCAGTTGTTTTAGTACCCTTTTTTACTGCTTTCATAAGTTTTCTTTCATCACACTGATAATTTTTTAGGTCTGCCAGGTCTAAGAGCTGCAGTTGTTTTATTTTTTGGAAAATAATCATTAGCAATCTTTTCAACTGCACTTTTGGATCTATCTAATATATGAGCTATTTCTCTATAAGAAAAATTGGCTTTTTTTAAGCCAACGATTTCTCCATGTTCGAATTCAGATAATTGAGTAGCTTTGGGCATTTTAAGTTCTCTTTAAAAAAATAAAATGGTTGGTTTACTTTAAATGAATCATCTAATTTGGGATTTTTTTAAAAGATCTTCAAAATTAACTCGTTTGAGAATTTTGTACGTATCAGTCACAGGACATTTCCCGCCGATCTATAGGAGGTTGTAAAACATAGTAAAATTTGGATGATCTGCATCATA